GTTTGTTGTCCTTCCCCGGCACCACCGATTAGGAAGGTTGGCTTCGTACAGTGCGAAAGAAGTACAACATATATACATATCGATTGGCCAAATGATCACAGCTCCCCCTCGTGGGTACCTGGATGGCAACTTGCAATCAAGAGTCACAGACAGCCGTCTCTCGATTACCAAAAGGAGCAGCAGTCTGTAGACCAATCATTGTTCACTTTCAACAAACTGTTTCCATTGGCTTGACATAACTCTGTCACTCTTGTTACTGCCTTATCTAGTTGCTATAGTTGCTCATAGTAAACACTGTGAGTGACGACTGCTTGTGACGACTGTCAACAACAATCGCTCTAACAATGTCCGAGTGTGCCATGGCCTTTATGGACACATGGGAAATCAAGTTAAGGGCTTCATCTCATGCAGAGGTCCCACTGCCTAGACAGAGGGTAGCCTTCTGTCAGTGTTTTAGCTTACATGTATTGTGGTGGACGCAAAAAGTGTTCCACATCGGGAGCTGCGGTTAATTGCTCTACTCTGCAATGATGTACGGCAGTGTAATGACGGGTTCACCGTGTGTCTCTAGTTAGAGATCAAAAGTGCTGTGACCTATTGGATGTTAAAACGGAAAATGCCACCAGCTTTTATTTCATTGGTTTAGTGCAGATTTCCAAACATTTCAGATCCATGCCATTTTACACTCTTCTAAAGATGATTAAAAAAACACAATACACAGCATAGCTGGAATTACCAAATCATGGATGTTCCACTCACAGATGTGATGTGGCAGCAAAATTACAATTTCTTCACATTTATATGAAATATAAGTTGATGAGGCACTAATGATAGGAAAATGTGACCATTCTGTCCATGAATAAAATGTGACGATACACAACTTTTTTTACACAATTATTGTGTAATTAAACTTGTTTTAGTCCTGACATGACCAAGTTGTACTTTGACTGTCATTCCCAAAGGAAGCAAATTCATAAATTGAATACTTATCAACAGATAGCATATTGTGAATGATAAATATAACCACAGATCACAAACGAACTGCTGTGACAATCCAAAAATAAATTTTCCACTTTACTGAGGAATTATTTTTTTTATTAATGGAGCCCAAAGCCTTGATACTTAATCTGACAAGTCATAGATTAATGTAAGTTATGGACACTGTCCCTCAACTGTAACACTGTAGGCTTGTTTCCAGTCTCATTAATAAATTCTGAACGTTAATGAGTCTTGGGTTAATTTGGTCAGGGTGTCAACCTCAATCATTACTTATCAAAATAAAAGTGGAAATAGTGTTTCTGGTGGCACTGTGTTTGCATGGAAACCTACTTTCTTGTGCTGGTCTGCCACTTACCTAGACTTCCGACTAAAAACAGTACACCCACTGTTCAGCTATTAGCAGAGACAATAGGCTATAGCAATGCTATTTTGAAACATATTTTTTGCAGTATTTTTATATTAAATTAATCCTGGTTCTGTACAAACTACAATCAGCTGTGGAAATGTTCATTGTATGATAATTAAGTGAGGTTTGTAAGTTATTTCTTCAAGTGAAGTGTCAACAGACATAACTAATTATGAAAACAAAGATTCTTAATTTGGCCTTGAACGTACTTTTGGGGTGTTGTTAGCGAGCACCTATTAAGGTCAGCACGGCACACGAGGGGGTAAGTGGTCAGCACCACCTTTGTCTCCCCAATACATATTTTTACACACCACATCAGGTACTCATTTAATGCTGAGTCAACCTAGGAAAGGCCCACGACCAGTTCAGATATTCGTTCCCGAAGTTAACGATAAGCGGAAATCGAACTCGGGTCGCTAGTTTTGTAGCGCAATGTGCTAATCACGACACTACTGCTACCCACAACTAATGATCAACACATACAGACTAAGTTATGTAAGTTAGGATATTTGTTATCTTTAATTAAATGGTGTAATACTGTTTGTTTACCATAGAAAGCATCACCAAACCTTATGAATCTTTTTAGAAAGGGTCTTGCCAAGATTTGCAGGAGGGGGCGATGATTACTATGGAAATCCAAAATAAGTTACGTGAAGATAATCTTTCAAATTGGGAAAATGTGTACCATTTCGCAAACACAATGGCCTACTCTTGTGAATTACCTTCAGGGATAACATCCACTGTGAAGCATATGGTGCAGTATTAATCCGGTTGACCAGTGGGATTCGAACCATGAACCTCTGCAATAAGTGGCAAGCACACTACCGCTAGACCATGCCACTGCACCTATACACAATAATCTGCACGTGTATAGCAAAATACGCCACAATAAATGTTATAATCAAAGCATGAAGAACAAGTGTAAATATTAAACCGTAACAACACAAGTTTAAAGTCTGCAATGACACGATTGTTGCCTAGTTACGTCAAGCAATTTCTCTTTAGCATTTGACAACGAAAGTTCAAATAGGGTCAGTGACTCTTAAAGGTCAACACGCAAGCATACTTATTCTTGCTTTTAAAATACCATGGTGCTATTAAACAACAAGACAGTGTTGCAATACACAGTCATGTTGGTCTCGTGTACTTACATTGTACTCCACTGAAACGCATTAAAAGCATTTTTTTTTACCAATCTTAAAATATATATTAGCCTTTAAGATCTGCACACGTTGTACTGTGTGAAACCTGTAAAAAAAAACTCTTTCAATATCCAAGCATGACCACATTTATAAACACCCGCTCCAATTAATCAGCCCGGTATTGACATCGTAACCATACAGTGAAAGGTATTAATAATGTTGTCTCTTCATTTTGTACTTGTGGAAGGGAACTGCAATTCATAACCAATTGCAATACCATACTATCAGTACCGTTAACTTTATTTGACTTGGCACTTTCCAAGTGACAAAATTAACACTGAAGAGCACTCACAATTATTACAGGACTCTTATTTAAGACAAGCAGTCTTAGATAAAGACATTCAATATATGTGGCTTCAAGTTTGCAACTAGCATCTTGACCTATAGGTAATATTTACACAGACAAAGCAGATCAATTACTTCTACAGAATACAGCGTCATTGCGCATAATGCTTGTGTAGTGACATCGGGGATGTCACTGTATGGTGCTGGTCCGGGAGGGTCGTGGCGTGCGATGTTCCTACGTCTTGGACAGCACCGCGTGGGTTGCTGTGTGATGCCGGCTCTAGCACAGCACGGCGTGCGATGCACCGTCATCGCGTACACCCCGTAGGTGGGTGTAGTACTAGCCTTAGCGGGGTTGGTGAGCGCTGGGATAGCGCTGGCACCACGCATAGCGTGTAGTGCGGGCTCCCACAAGGGGGAGCGGGAGAGTGTCAGCCCAGGGACAGGGTTGCCCCGGGCCATGGCACTCTAGTTGATCCCGTAGACACGTGATCCGGAGCATCCACAGAGAGGGCCCCAGGTGGGGGAGCTAGGGGGTAATCACAGTCCAGGGAGAGCTCTCGAGAGGGAATGAGAGGGAGCGAGAACACTTGAGAAGGCAGGCGGGGCCTGGGCAGAGCCAGCCCCGACCCGGGAGGATATAAGGTGGGTCCCTGAGAAGGACCGGGGTCGCTTCGTTCTACAAGCTGGAAGCTCCATGTCCTATAAGGCATCAACACGTGGCCGGGACCCGAGCGAGGGTCCGACACCTTCGTAGCTGTAACTCCTCGTTATAGTGTAATTAGCTGGGTGGTCACCACCCTAGGCTGTATCTGGTAAAGGGGCAGTTACCCCTTTTTAGATACGTGTTATAATAAATGTGTTGCCTCTAAAGAATAACGTCTGTGACTCAGTTGGAGTGGCTACACTTGCACTAATTGTATTTAGAGCAGAAATAAGGCCTTCGTGCTCTGGGAATTTCCCCCACACTTGGGGGTTTGTCTTGAAGCTCCAGTAGAGATTTGTAGGAGATGATTCCACGGGACTTGAGCAAGCATGCTCGAGCATGTTGGTGCCATTACTGTGCTTACCTAAAAAAACTCTGATGCACAAATGCAACCCCTGCAGCTGCCATGTACACACTTGGCTGTGCATGCTTGTGCAGTTGCAGAAGCATGCAGTTGCACAGACTACAGGTATGCATATTAAAATGCACAATCGTGCACTAAGAAACGTGCGCTAACATGTTTATTACCAAGTGTGATGTGCATTGCATATCTCTTGCATGCATCAGCAAGAGAGATATCGTTTTTGGAGCAAGGGTTAAATCTGGTGAAGAATGTCATGCCTCTTTTACCTTTACCATAACTCTATGACCCCACATTACTTTGTCTTAGTAGTGTGGGGGCATATGTAGGAAAGCCAGACTGATTCAAGGCAGGAGACAATGTCAGACGGTCATTCAGCCCTACGGTTGCTATTGAGTGGACAAAACAGAAATGAAGAAGCGAATAAGACTATCTCAAACATATCGCACAAAACACAATGTGCAGCATTTCCCAAATCCACGCTAACTCAATACAAAAAAGGCATAAACTTAAGTGTAGCTGCAACATCGTTAAAGATGAAAATGTCCATCTTACCCATAGATTATCAGGGTTTATGAATAGAATTAAGAACTCCAGATTGACTCGCTCCTGTGAATACAGGGATTTGCAAATTGGGAAGTCACTAGAAGTCACTGCGCAAAACAAAGGTCAACAACTTTACAAATTCTCGTGTGACGATCTAGCTTAAATATTTTCAGTTATCAAAATGCTTACGTAGCTGATGTAAGCTCACCTGTGATTAATCACACATATACTTTGTGCACTCTGTTGATAGCTACGGAGAGCTAGGTGCATTTTTTTTTTACTATTATTGAAGTGAATGCAATGGTTGATGAGGGATTGGACCCCCGAGCCCCACGTGCACAGGAGAGTACGAGGCATTGCCCCCCAATTTAGATTTGGACGGACTTTGTGGTGAGGAATTGGGAGCTGCGGTGTTGTGAGGTGGAAGGTGTTTCTGACCATTATTGCAGGATTCACGATGCGAGGAGAGGGACAGGATAGACCGGCTACACTTACCACTTTTTCCAACTCCACCAGGTCCCAGCATCACAATCTTGTATTCTCTTGTTCCACCTGCGCCTCTGGATTCTGTTTTTAAAGCTGTTGCCGTGTCTTCCATCTTAAAAGCCTGAAAATGCACTATGGCATAAAAAATAATTTCACACAAACGAACCGCAAATGTATGTCAAACATTTCACGTGACTTAGTAACTGCAAAAAGCTTGTCACTTTATCCGACTTCACGTCTAATATTTCAGTACTCCCTTCATACAATCTCAGCGGAGGTGTTTTTGGAGAAAATATCAAAATTTCGATTTAAAGCTTTCGTGACTGCAATGATTCATCTTCTTTGGTTCTTTCGGTAAAGTCACGTAGAATGAGAATAAAATAATAAATATTATTGTGTTATTTTATTTTATCAATTTATTATTTTATTCTCATTCTACGTGACTTTACCGAAAGAACCAAAGAAGAAAATATCAAAAATATAAAATAGACCAATACACATTTCTTGGTTCTTTCGGTAAAGTCACGTAGAAGGGAAACAATAAAATAAAAAAACATCACTTTACCCTACATTGCGGGGATCACAAAAAATATCTCCAAAATCGTGAATAAACACAAGATCCAGGTCCGATTCAACACATTACATAAAATCCGTGATCTGGTTCCGTCTGTAAAAGATGTGATTCCGGACATACAGTACCCTGGCGTGTCTCGGACCGCATTCGTGAACACAAAGCAGACCTAAAACACGGTAGGACCAACACCTCGGCCGTGGCAGATCACTGTTATAATTCAGTAGGCTCACATGACATTGACTTCTCCAAGACAGAGGTTCTCTGCAAGCCATCTGGCTACCATAAGAGATTCGTTCATGAGGCTATCCACATATACAAACACAGAGACAATTTCAACCGAGAAGATGGATTCTGGCTTAGCAATCATTGGAAGGATTTGATAAACCATTTCGGGTCTTAATTGATTGTTCACGCTTACGATGGCTTTCAGACCACATCCATTATTTTCGTCTCCCCCCTCCTCTTTTCCGAACATAGATGGACAAAACTGAAACGGTTTCAAACTGAAACGGTTTCAGTTTTGTTGCCAGAAAAAAGGGGAAAACCCTATTATTACATTTTGGTACTGGCAAAGGTCTATTGATGTATATGCTCACCCTGAGCCCTCATTACTTTGATAGTGCATTGTCTTTGAGCTGTACGCCTTCTGGCGTCATCTGGTCGAGCACCAATTTGGTCGAGGCTCAAAAGAAAGTCGTCCCTTGGTGTGGACCAATCAGTTTCAAGGACAATGCATATATTATCATAGTATGTTTTTTGTTTGCATTTTGACTGAAGGTATTGTGGTTAATGCAGACATGAATCCTCGTAAAAAGGTTTCAGTTTTGTTGCCAGAAAAAAGGGGAAAAAACCTATTATTATAGATGGACTCGTCCATCTGAATAACTGCCAAATCGCTCTCCGTGGTGCTAACGTAAAAAAACGCCACTTTTTTCAATTTTTTTGGCTGTGGGTTTCACACCTGATGATGACTGCTTGTGTTGCAGTCAAAACGTCGTGAGAATTTAATTGTTTTATATTTTTATCATTGCATTGTTTCCCTTCTACGTGACTTTACCGAAAGAACCAAGAATATGAAAACCCTGCAGTCACGAAAGCTTTAAATAAAAATGTAAATACACATTTGCGGAAGGCAGTTATAATAGCAAACCAATGCAAATTATTAAGGGGACTTATACAAGAATATCATATCGAAAACTGAAGTGCGAGGTTCGAGATCAATGCGGAAAATAAAGGTCAAGCATAAACTGTTCAACGGAACAATTTTATACATGCCAGAGGAGCAATTGGAAAACATTACAGGGCGATATATACCAAGATCAGTTATTGAAGGTGGACTGGGATAAAAAGTATTACTTTTAAAGGTGGATGAGAGCAGGTCGGAGTGCTCTTGGAGACCAGCTTTGCAATGAAGAGCAATCTACCAAAGTGTCAAAAGGAAAACATTTCAGAGAGAGCATGTTACTTGCTATGATATATATTATACGCATGACGTCATTCGGATAGGCGCAGCACGCGTGAGGTAATCAATTTTATAATTAAACGTAAGTGCAGTTGACACCAAGTGCCCCTGGCACCGGACTAGCCGAGACTGGTGTCGGACCAAGTTACTGTTCATCGTCACACATTGATCCATCAACTGCTGAATGTAGACCAATACAATGTCTCGAATTTGTTGCCTGATCCATGTTACCTTTTGATCCATGTATGCCCATTTCTGTGTCATGTGAGTCCAAGCTTGCATCTCACCGTGCCTGCATCATCTTAGTATGCTATATAGTGCAATTGTTGCTCTGTCTCAATGTAACCTAAGCATGCGTCTCTCCATGCTTCGTTACACACTTTGAGCTTGTTACAATTGTTTTAAGGACCATGTTTTCTGATCCATGTCATAGCAGGTAATATGCTTTCATTAAAACTTTATTCTTTAAGCACATTGGTGAGTTGCTTTTATTAACTTAAGTTTTTCAAAAGTACTCCAACCTGCTTACATCCAACTCTTTACTTCACCATTTGTATCCTATTGCGCCTTCAATAATATAATTGGCCGAGGTACACACACTGGTGTTTTCCAGTTGTATCCTGTGTATGCAATAAAATATCACTCATGATGGGAGTAATTGCATGAATAATTAACTTAGCCATTTACTCTGGCACTAAAATTCCATTACAAATGTTTAACGTAAATGCATTTTGTAAATCGTTACAAAATCCATGCAAAAGCATGATTTTGTCTACCTTGTTCTCATGACCGAAGCTCCAAGCTATCGATAAGGAAAATCCCCAAGCCACGCACAGCATAACCTTGCTGATGTATATGACGGCACAAAGCCCTGCTAACCACCTACCGTCCAGCGGCACAAGTTGGGAGATATTAACCTTTTTGTTTACAATTTGCGTATTTTCCGATTATTCGAACAATCGAATCGAGATGATCGGTGGAATCATGAGCTCCTTAAACAATCAGATATCCCAGTTCTCAAGCGGCGCAACCAAATATATATATTTTTTTTGGGGGGGGGGGTCTTACAACAGCACAAAACAAACAATAGTGACAAAACTTAACAACACTTAAGCCGACAATAAGCAGGCAGCCCCCACGCGTCTCACCAGGGCCCCGCCACCACCAAAACAACACACAAAGACGCCTGGGTCCCCCCCCCCTCTCCACCCAGTGCGAATGCAATTACTGATAACGACAAGGGAAGACAAAGACGGCAGGGGGGTGCAAAGCCAGGGCCTGTGGCTACGGTACCCCAAGCCATGCGGAAACAAAGACGCAGCGATAGCCATGCAAACTTGCTGTGTGCGAGTAAACAACACTGTGCTGCACTTAAGATTAAACAACAGTACATACGCGCAGCAACTTTAACACACGAAGGACAAAAGGCCCACCCCCCGCGTAGCCTTTAAAAGTTGTGGCAAGGTGCCGCGTGAAATAAAACTTAACTTACTCTTTGGTTCTATTCGGTAAAGTCACGTAGGTAAAAAAATAAATAAAACACGCAGCACGACACTCGGAACGCGCGCACACAACGACCGCCATTCGTCACCGCGGCGCCGGTGCCAGGCTAGGTGCACCCGAGTGCCCGTCAACGTCCAGCGAGCATTCGGCAGGGCACGGCACTGACCCAGGTGTTATAGGTTTAAGCGACATCTACTTACAGTCGCAACCGCGGCGATTCACAAGCAAGTGCCGACTGACCACACACACACAAGCTGATGAGACGGATACAGTCACGCGCTAGCAACTAGTGCGGACACTTCCACGGCCGTGCTATGTTGTTAACATCTCGGCGTGGCCATCGTCGTCGTCATGATCGGTCAGCGACAGCCGCCGTTCCCTATCCACTGCTGGACGAAGGCCTCCCACACCGAACACCGCCGCCCGAGTTCGTGGTGGACGTTTAAAAGCGTTCGGTTCGGCGCCCGCTTGCCTGCCGTGAACGAGAGACGCGTGGGCCTCCACTCACCGCGAGAGATTCAGCGGTGGCAGCCAGGCGGGAACACCACCAACAACAACAGCAGCAGCAGCAACAACAGCAGCAGCAGCAACAACAACAATGGAGGGGAGCAGTGGGGGAGGAGGAGGAGGAGCGGCTCGAGGCGCAGGCGGCGGAGTGCGTGCAGGAAGCGAGCCGCGCACGCGCAGTGGTGACGGTGGTGGTGGTGACGATAGTGGTGATGATGATGGTGGTGGTGACGGTGGTGATGATTGCTGATGATGTTGGTGGTGATGGTGACGATAGTGGTGGTGACGGTGGTGGTGATGCTGATGATGTTGGTGGTGACGGTGGTGGTGATGATGGTGGTGGTGACGGTGATGATGCTGATGATGGTGGTGGTGACGGTGGTGATGGTGACGATAGTGGTGATGATGGTGGTGACGGTGGTGATGGTGACTGTGATGGTGACGATAGTGATGATGATGGTGGTGACGGTGGTGGTGATGGTGACTGTGATGGTGACGATAGTGATGATGATGATGGTGGTGACGGTGGTGATGATGCTGATGGTGGTGGTGATGGTGACTGTGATGGTGACGATAGTGGTGATGGTGGTGATGACGGTGGTGATGGTGATGGTGACGATAGTGGTGATGATGGTGACGGTGGTGATGACGGTGGTGATGGTGATTGTGATGGTGACGGTGATGAGAGTGATGGTGACTGTGATGGTGACGATAGCGATGATGATGGTGACGATGGTGGTGGTGACGGTAGTGATGATGATGCTGGTGACGGTGACTGTGATGATAGTGGTGATGATGGTGGTGACGGTGACGATAGTGATGATGATGGTGGTGGCGGTGATGGTGACGATAGTGGTGATGATGGTGGTGACGGTGACTGTGATGATGCTGATGGTGACTGTGATGGTGATGATGATGACGGTAGTGATGATGATGGTAGTGACGGTGACTGTGATGATGGTGGTGACGGTGGTGATGGTGACTGTGATGGTGACGATAGTGACGGTGGTGATGACGGTGACTGTGATGATGATGGTGACTGTGATGGTGACGGTGGTGATGGTGACTGTGATGGTGACGATGATGGTGGTGGTCACGGTGACGATAGTGATGATGATGGTGACGGTGACTGTGATGATGATGGTGGTGACGGTGACTGTGATGATGGTGACCGTGATGGTGACTGTGACGATGATGCTGATGGTGACGATGATGCTGATGGTAACTGTGATGATGATGGTGACTAATGATGATGGTGACGATGCTGATGATGACTATGATGCTGATGATGACTGATTATGCTGCTGATGGTAACGATGGTGATGATGGTGACGATTATGGCGATTGCTGATGGTGACGATGATGCTGATGATGACTATGATGATGATGATGGGAACGATGATGATGGTGATGATGCTGATGATAACTATGATGATGGTGACGATGATTATGGTGATGATGCTACTGATGGGAACGATGATGATGGTGACGATGATGCTGATGATGACTGATGATGGTGACGATGATGCTGATGATGACTATGATGATGATGGTGACGATGCTGCTGGTGACGATGCTGCTGATGGGAACGATGATGATGGTGTCGATGATACTCAGTACTGCCTTTGTGTGTAGTTTGTTGTTGTCCTCCCACGCCACCCCCGCTTAGCACGGCCGACTACGTACGGTGCGAAAGAAGTTCAACACACATACATGATGCCTCCTCAGCCACATCCACCTCTAACAGCGAATTTACCCGATTATTCGATGCAATTTCCACCGACACCACCAGCACCCCCCCCTCCGATTATTTGAAAGCAACAGTTGATGGTGCGTCTTATAATCCGGTACGTGTGAGCGAGTGAGTGCTGTGGTGCCACGAACCTGGCCACCCGAGTTGGAATCCCGCTCGCGGCCAGCACCAAGTGACTGATTATATCTCAGTCTCAAATGAGTGCCTGGTGTGTTGTGTGGAAGCATCGCCACTGGGGAGACAAAGGCGTCCGGGCGTGCCGCTGGCCACCCATCCTTCTCGTGTGCCACCGTGCCGGCGGCCTTCATTAACCAACATCATGGGTGCACCTAGCCTGGCACCGCCGCTTAACGGCGAACGGCGGCTGTCGTCAGATTTGTAAAAAAAAAAAATTACTCATTGGGAACAAGTTTGGAGTGCGTCTTATTTTTTCGGGAGATTCTTCGAATCCGAAGACTTCGGTGACGGTGTTTGATTCCCCATTCTCCACCACCAAGCCACATCGATTCCTCAACAATTAATCATCATCAATCGTCCGTGGTCAATCCGCTGCTGGATGAAGGCCTCCCGCGCCAAACACTTACAACCGCCTCCTACAAATTGCCACCGGCGCCGGCCCCACTCCGTTTGCTCCTTGGGGGCCGTCCATAAATGACGTCACGCGATTTTTGACCCCCCCCCCCTTTGTCACACGGCGTCACAAAATGTCAGACCCCCCCCCCCCCTCAAATATGACGTCACAAAGCTCTGCCCCCCTCCCCCCCAAAAAATAAAACATGCTTCAAATCGCTTTAAACTATTATCATTGTAGTGCGTATTTAATGTGGCGCTGAACTCTGATGTTGTAGGAGAAAACGTATTAAAAAGTATATTTAATTAAGTAGAACGTGTTGTCTATATTAATTTAACGTTGCTCATTTTGATGTGACGTCACATTTCTCAACCCCCCCCTCCCTCGTCACATCGTCACAAATGTCTGACCCCCCCCCCTAGGTGCGTGACGTCATTTATGGACGGCTCTTGGGCTTGTGTCTGAGCACATCGTTGGTGCCTGTAGTCAACCTCGACTGGCGACAGGGGTCGCGTGAACCACCCATGTCCTCGGAAACAGGGCCATATCCGTGTGCTTAATGAAGAAGGATCATTGGCTGAAACGTTGCCAATATTTTGTTTTCATTTTAGGACAGTGTTATTGACGACTGTGTTGAGTTTTTGTTAGGTTACATGAGGTATGTGAAAGATAAAAGGGACTAAAAAACGAAAAGTTCACAAAGAAGCATGGGGATATGCATGGAGGCCCTTTATACAGGGTGGTCCAGATGTCTTGTGACCCCCATTTTATTCTCTAAAACGTATTATTTTTTAAAGGTTTATTTAAAACATAAATGAATGCGCAAAGGAAAAATATGTTAGTGGCCAATTAATTGGGGATCACAAGACATCTGGACCACCCTGTACATGGTAGGCAAAGGAATCGACATTAACAGCCGATGTGCGTTTTTTGTCCATGTGAACTCCTCGATGCAACCAAAAATCAACCTTGTGATTTGGGGTTCAGATCTCTTTAATGCTGGAGAAATTCGACCTTTAATATTTTGGTCCACGTAAAGGGAACATTATCATCAAAGGTGAATCTTTAATGAGGGGGTAATTGTCGAAATAAAAATTCTGATTCCGATTTTATGAATTATTTTCTTCCAATTAAAGTAGATCAATAATGCACAAGAACTGTCTGTCGAAGCATGCCACAATAACTAGTAATGATCCAATATGAATAACATTTTTATATAAAGTTGTTATTAGTAACTTATCCTATATAAATCCAGCCATATTGATCAAGTTTTCCCAAAAACCTGGCGTTAAAATACCATTGCTCAACAGAAAAGCTTTTTTGGCCAATGTGATGAATCACGTGCTATGCATGCCCTCTGCGATTCCATCAGTATCCATGATGCCATCACGCCGCATCACATGATGTGCCTTGTGACCTCATCTAGTGCTGCATGAAATGCAATTTCATTTCATCAGTCATCTGCTGCTGGGTAAATTTCTCCCCAAGCCATTTCCCGCTCTCTTGCAATGTAACAATTCACCCAGCACCTGCACACAAGCTGATTTCATTACCCTGTCTCTCTGGTGGACGTGCTCCCGAGTCGCATTTATTAATTTGTATGTATATATGTTAAACTTATTTCGCACTGTAGGTAGCCAATCATGCTAATCGGAGGTGCCACTCCATTGTTATTCTCGCCCACGGACCACAATTCCTTATATATCTGTAATAAAGCACTTCCACGACTGTAGACTCGTGTCTTTTTATTAACAATTACTGCACAGTTCTGCACGCTCTTCCCAGATGGTTCCACGCTCCCTCGTCCACCGTTGCGGCGCGTCTCTCTGTCTCTCTTCTCACGCTCGCCGCTAGCTGGCGGCGCGTGGGGGGTAGAGAGGGCTTCGCCGGCGGAGGTCGCCACGTGAACGGTGGCGAGACGAGGTAGGCGATGACGCAGACCGGACTTCAGGCTTCCTGCACCGACGACGAGTCCTCTCACTGCCTCTCCTTATATTGCTCTTGGCGGAGCTAGGCTCCGCCTCTAGCCACGCCCCTCGTAGAACCTTCTCGACGCTTACCGAACATACCCATGAGCTCTGCCCATTACCATTGGCCCAGATGGAACCCTTCCCTCTGATTGGATATGAGTAACCCAGCAGTGCCTATGCAGCCCTTCGTCGTCCCTTAGGTGACGCTCTCTCATTACATGTCCATGCCACTGTCCTCCCCACTTAACATTTTGTATGATGCTCTAGCTTGCTTATGACCTATGGTCCACTTTTTACTCTTTCTGTCTATCATTGTAATCCCAAGCATACATCTCTTCCTCTTGATTTCCACACTTTTGAACTCCTTTCTATATATTCGTCAATGTCCATGTTTCTGATCAATGTCAGCAGTTAGTACACATTAAAAATATATACTTCTCAGAAATTTAATGTTGGAAGGTGTTACAGTATTCATGCACATGTATTATTTTTCTTCCTCGTTTTATTTAGGAATCGGTTTGTAAAAGCTTGGATCACTGCACAAATATCCACAGACTCAATTCCCTCTTCATGTTCTACAATGGCTAGGCATAATGGAAAATTGACATTCATTTATCTTTCGAGATTCAGACTGTATGTGTTAGATGGTAAGGAAACCGTTTCCAAATCTTGCTTGCTCATGTGTTTATTGGCCTCTAAATTTTCCATCATTATAAGACCTCCTTTGCCAGTAACAAGATATAGGAATAGGTTTTACCCTTTTAACTGGCACAAAAACTGACACCTTTATTCAAGGCATCATGTTTGCAATAACCACAACACAAACAGTCAAAATGCAAACAAAAAAGACAACTCTTATAATAATATGCACTGTCCTTGAATTTGATTGGTCCACACCCGAGACGGCTTTTCTTA